GAGAGGGCATTGGTAATCTTGATCTAAGGCAGAAGCAAATGCTAGTGGGTAGAGGAGTGAATAAGAGGTGAAGAATTAGTGGCACTGTCTTTCCAAAAGCTTAGTTGTGACAGCATTATGAAGTGGAAGCTGGAGGAGGATTGTTTTTTCCTTTTTTAAGGTGCTAGTACTTTGAGGGTTTGCACATAGTTGTGGGGAAGAGGTGGTCTAGAGGGAGAAGTTGGTGTTAAAGGAGAAAAGGAGAATAATGAATAGACTGAGATATTGAGGTAGCACAAGGAGGTGGTAACCAGAGAGTTTCACTTTAGTTGGGAGACGAGTCCCTTTTCCACTGATGCAAGGTGGGCTGAACAGAGAAGAGATAAATGTGTGAATAGGTGAACCTGTTTCTGAGTGGAATGCAAGAAAACAAACTTCTCTCTGATTGCCCTATGTTCTAACTGAGATCATTAGCTAAGAATAAGAATGGAGGAAATGTGAGGCAGGAATTTGAACATTGTTGAGGGAATGGCAGAGGGCGCTGGCTCATTTCATCAAGAACACAACTTCCTGCCAATCACTAAGGGAATCACTAAAAGGCCAGATGTGGTTGGAGACCACTCATTTATTTGATAGCAGCAATCTATACATGTGTGTGTGTAGTGTGTGTCTTCTAGCAGTGCTTAATAACCAGGGTGTATACAGAATTTATTTTTTTATTGGTTTTATTTTATTTATTTTTTAAATTTTTTTTATTTTTTAATTATAGTTGACATACGATGTCATATTAGTTTCAGATATACGACATGGTGATTAGACATTTATATAAAGTACAAATGACCACTCTGATAAATCTAAAACCTATCTGACGCCATATATAGTTATTACAATATTATTGACTATATTCCCTGTGCTGTACTTTACATCCCTATGACTATTTTGTAATTACCAATTTGTACTTAATCCCTTCCACTTTTTTGCACATCCCCCAACCCTCCACCCATCTGGCAATTATCTATCTTCTCTGTATCTATGAGTTTGTTTTTGTTTTTTTCATTCATTCATTTTGTTTCTTAGATTTCACATAGAGTGAAATCTATGGTACTTGTCTTTCTCTGTCTGACTTTTTTCACTTAGCATAATACCGTCTATGTCTATTCATGTTGCCGCAGATGGCAAAATTGTATTCTTTTTTTACGGCCCAGGAATATTCCATTATACATATGCACCACTTCTTCTTTACTCATTTATCTATTAATAGACTCAGGTTGCTTCCATATCTTGACTATTGTAAATAATGCTACAATGAACATATGGATGCATATGTCTTTTTGAATTAGTGTTTTGGATTTCTTCAAATACCCAGAAGTGAATTTACTAGGTCTTGTCTCTTATTATACCCTTTGATTTAAATCTATTTTGTCTGGTATAAGTATCATTACTCTAGCTTTTTTTCTTTTTTTAAATTTCCATTTTCACAAAATATCTTTTTCCATACCTTTACTTTCAATCTGTGTGTATTTTTCAATCTGAAGTGAGTCTCTTATAGGCAGCCTATGTAAGGGTCTTGTTTTCTTATCCATTCAGCCACTCATTGTCTTTTGATTGGAGCATTTAATCCATTTAATTTAAAGTAATTATTGAAAGATATGTAGTTATTGCCATTTTATTATGCATATTTTTTTTCTTCTTCTTAAAAATGTTTCTTTAACATTTCCTGTAATACTGGTTTGGTGGTGATGAACTCCTTTAGCTTTTTCTCGTCTGGGAAGCTCTTTTTCTATCCTTTGATTCTAAATGATAGCTTTGCTGGGTAATCTTGGTTGTAAGTCCTTTCTTTTAATCACTTTGAATATTTCTTGCCAACCCTTCTGGCCTACAAAGCTTCTGTTGAGAAATCAGCTGATGGTCTTATGGGAGTTTCCTTGTCTGTAACTAATTGCTTTTTTTCTTGCTGCTTTTAAGATTTTCTCTTTGTCTTCAACCTTTGGCACTTTAATTATGATATGTCTTTGTGTGGGCCTGTTTGGGTTCATCTTGTTTGTGACTCTCTGAACTACCTGAGCTTGTATGTCTATATCCTTCACCAGGTTAGTGGAGTTTCTACCATTATTTTTTCAAATGTTTTCAATTCCTCTCTCTTCTCCTTTTGGTACCCCTATGATATGAATGTTGGTACACTTGATATTTAAGGGTCCTAGAGGCCCCTTAAACTATATTCATTATTTTTTGGAATCTTTTTCTTTTTGCTGTTTTTTTTCTTTTTAGTGTTTTCTGCTACCTTATTTTCCAAATTGCTGATTTGATTCTCTGCTTCATCTAATCTACTGTTGATTCCTTTTAATGTATTCTTCATTTCTGACTGGTTCTTTTTTATTTTTTCTATCTCCATTATTATGTTTTCTATCTCTTTGCTGAAGTTCTGACTTATGTCATTGAGCATCCTTATAACTAGTGTTTAAACTCTGCATCTGCAAGATTGCTTATCTTTATTTTGTTTTGTTCTTTTTCTGGAGCTTTGTTATGTTCTTTCATTTGGAACATGTTCCTTTATCTCTACATATTAGCTGCCTTCCTGTGTTTGTTTCTGTGTATGAGGTAGAACTGCTATGTCTGCCAAATGTGGTAGAGTTATCTAATGCAATAGGTATCCTGTGTGGCCCAGTAGAACAGTCTCCTTGGTCACCTGAGCTGGGTGCTCCAGGTGTTTCCCTTGTATGGGTTGTGTGTGCCCTCCTGTTGTAGTTGAGCTTTGATTGCTGTTGACACATCAATGAGAAGGATTGACTCTCAGCCTGGTTGGCTCTGAGGACTAATCGTGAATACAATGGAGGAGCTGTTGTGCAGGAACAGACCCTACAGACTGACTCTGATGCCTGCAAAGTCTGCCTTTTGGATATGTCATCTGTGGAGTAGCTGGGTGGTACTCTGGTGTGGTCTGAAGCTGGTCACTGGGTGTGTTTGTTCTGGGACCTCTGGGGAGGAGCTCTGATTCAGGCCAAGTTCAGCCACTGCTTGTGACCTTTCCGGGGCCACTTGATATGGGTTACAAAGTAATCTGTAGATGGAAAAAAACACACTGGAAGTGACTTGAGTGAGCCTACAAGTTGGGTGGGGAAGGGTCTCAGGGAATCACCAGAGTGGAGTAAAAAATGTTAGCTAGGTTGATGGAGAGTCAGACATGGCACTCTGCTCATGCAGGCTGTGTTAGGGGAGGGCTCAACAAAGGAACACTGGCTTCTGCCAGCACTTCTTCTGGCAGTAAGATGCCCTTTCAGCCCTTGCCCTGAATCCAGAAAATTCAGTTCTCCCAGTATATCCATGGCACCTTTCGAGCTGCTGTCCCACTGCTGGAGCTCAGAGTGAGAAAGACCATCAGCAAGTAAGTCTGTACAGGCCCTTTAAGAGGAATGCCTGGGTCTCCAGAAGGCTTCCATCTTACTCAGCCGTAATTTTTGCTGTTTTTCACATCCAGAAGTAATGGAGATTCCTCTTCCTGGCACTGGAACCCTGGGCTGGGGAGCCTGGTATGGGGCTGGGTACTCTCCTGATTTTTAACCACCACACATGGATATGAGAACCAGCCTGTTCTGCATCTCTGCTCCTCCTACCAGTCTCAAAGTGGCTTCTTCTGTATATCCTTAGTTACAGGATTTCTGTTCAGCCAGACTTAAGGCGATTCTCAATGATTGTGGTTCTATAGTTTAGCTGCAATCTTGATGTGTTGTACACAGAATTTTAATAATTTGAATTGTTGGATTATACTTCTTTGAAACTTTACTAATTGAGTGAAACAGAAGAACAAGCACTAACATTTACTGAGTGACCTTGAACATGGCAATTAATCTCTCTAAACCTGTTTCCTTATTTGTAAAATGAGACTAAAAATAGTACTTGTCTTACCGAGTCATGAGAATTAAATGAGATAATACGATATTCCTCAAATATTTTGACTGTGACCTTCAATACACAACATATAGCTTTATTGTGAGAATTGAATGTATAATTATGAGTCTATAATGCCTTCACCAAAATATTTGGGGAGTTATGTGTTTCCAAATTTAGAATATGGAGGAAAGTAATATGATGACTAGACACATATTATGTAACACCCATTAAGGCTTGGCAAATAATCTAAAATCGAACATTAATCTTTACACAGCCAAACATATGAACATTCATACAAACCATGAAAAATGACTGTAAATAGCCTCACCTCAGTCTCAGGTCAGGTTTTACCACCAAAAGAATTCAGGTCAGATTTTGTTTCAAATGTGTGTTTTTTATAAATTTTTGGATTTTCAGAGCTTTTTGGATTTTGAAATTGTGAATATAAAATTGTAGATATAGACATAATCAAAGACATAATCTTTAAAAAGTGCCTGGCACATAATAAAATTGGTTAATATTAGTAAGGTTATATTTCATTTTTAAAATGATATCCCTAACCCACTAAAGGAATTTCATGACATACTAATAAATTTTGACTCACACCCTGAAAAATGCTAATATATAAATGTTTAGCCTGGCCCCTGGTACATACTAAGCTCTTAACACCTTAGCAGAAAAAAATACCATCTTATCTTTGTGTAATATTTTGTTTGCAGAATTCTTTAAGTTAATAATTGCTACTAATCTTCACAGGAACTTTATCAGAAATAAACTAAATGGTTTAACTTTCCTCTTGATCTGTTTGAAAGTTTCATGTCTCAGTAGTTTTACGATGAAAAGCAGGGTTTAAACAATGATAATCTCATATTCCTATGGCATTTATATGTTAATATCTAAAGTACTTTTTAAGTTTTCTTTATTTTTTGTGAAAGAGATGATTTCATTGCACAGATAAACAGAACTGAGATCAAAGCATTTGTCTTAGATTACAAAATACGCTGTTTCTACATAGAATATATCCAATAGAACAAACAGTTTAGGAACAATTTCTAAAGCATATTTGCTACTCAGTTCTTAAAGTGAACTAAAGACATGTTCATCTGAAGACACCTTATATTTTGTTTTTCTAGTGCTATTGGAGACATTAAAATAGCTGAAGTGAACGCCATGGGTTTATTTGTGAAACTCATTAACTCTTCCCATGACAAAGAAGTGGAGATTGGAAATCATATTCTTCAGCAAAATGTGAATGGACAAAGAATCTCTTTGTACCAATTCCTTCCAAGTATCATAATGCAGGCCAATTCCACAGTAACAGTAAGTATAAGATATAAATACTATAAATTAGAATTGCACAGGAAATTCTAATTTACTGAGTTAGACTGTGGCTCAGCACCAGTGGTTACTTCATCACTCAATCTCTATGTAAAATGTGATGTTATGTTGGTGGTGGCTAACTGTGCCACATTGTCCATCTCTGTATGTAAATTAATACCCATAATTAAATTTCAATAGCTTTTTTCAATTTGTTGTACAAATCTTTTATTTTATGATATAACTTTTAAAATTAAATACCTAAGTTCCTAAAATTAAACAAACATAATCTTTAAAAGAAAAACAAAGAGATTGTTTGCCTAGACAATAGGTAATTAGTTGATGCTAGAGAGTTTTTCCTTTTTCTTGTGCTTTTCTTTAAGCCATATACCATAGTGTTTAGTGTTATACAACTTGACAATATATATTATACAGTCATATTTTAAAATCTCATATGTTCAGAAAGAGAACCTTGTAATAACCCTTTGACATGTACAAAATTATGTTGAACTCCAATGACCTGTGTCATTAACAAACTATCTTCTTACAGGTCTGGGCAGCAGCATCTGAAGCAAAGCATCAGCCACCATCAGATTTTCTTTGGAAGGAAGAAAATAAGTTTAGAACAAGCCCCAATTGTACAACAATCCTGTGCAAACCTAATGGTGAGGTCAGTATTTGGTTCTTAACAATAGATTTTAAATGGATAGCCTCCTTATGTTCCTCTTCTCCCTTTAGATCACTCAATTACTTTTCCAATCCTAAAAGCTTGAAAGGAACCATCACTAACTGTCAAAACACATCAGTAAATCAGTAGTAGTCATATTGTTGTCCTATGGAATTTGTAGCCTCTATATCGTATGTTGAAACAAATAGATATCAAAAAAATTAAGAATAGGTGTCTTAAATATTTAAATATTTAATGCTTCAGGACTGCCCAATATATCATTTTATTATTAGAGATTCAGTATTGGAACAGACTACTTCTATGTTGTAGGACATGGGTCCCCAACCCCAGGCCACTGACTAGTACTGGTCTGTGGCCTGTTAGGAACCAGGCCACACAGCAGGAGGTGAGCAGTGGGCAAATGAGAGCAAAGCTTCATCTGTTTTTGCAGCCCCTCCCCAGCACTGGCATCACCGCCTCAGCAACACCTAGATCATCAGGCATAAGATTCTCATAGGAGCACTGGTCCCTGTGCCAAAAATGTTGGAGACTGCTACTGTAGAAGCTCGTCGAAGGGCTTTTTATATGTGCATTATCTTATTTGATTCTTAGATTGTTTAAGTACTTTACAAAGGAAGAAAATGAGACTTTTTAAGTTAAATGGCTTGCTCAGTCAAGGTTATATGATTGGTGAAATGGCAGAACTAAAATAAAACCAGAAATAACTCCAAGAATTTTTCTATTGTATTAAAAATAGCCTACAAGGTTCATATGGCCAACATTCCAGAGGTGTAATTAAAATCATATCATTTTATTTTATCACAATATCATTGTCATTGTCATCAAATATTTTAAGTCCCTATAACTTAGGGAGAAATAAAATATTGCTTTTGTCTAGGAAATGCTTACGATCTAATTGAGGGAAATTGCACTAAAAAGATCATAAATATATTTTCAACACAAATGTCTCTGAGTTGCTAAAAGAAGGGAATCCCTAGCTGATGATCTGAAGCAAAAGTAGAGTTTTGCTGCTGTGATCCACAAAATTGAACTTTTTAAAAAAGATTTCATCTATTTCTTTCTCTGCCCTAAGCCTAGCCTAGCTGAACTTGCCTGGCAGTACATTTATGTCTAGTTAATTCGTCAATCCAAGCAGAGGGTTTTTCAATGATTACAACATAAACTGAAAACTTCTAATTTTATAAACTAAAAACATATCACAAGATTCCATATGCTTAATCTTCTCATGTTGAAAAAGACATAGTTGTTAGTCCTTATACATGATTTTCTTGGATAATTTTTGTGCATATATGTTGTACACATTCAAGAGACCAAAACAAACTCCAGCTTTAGTAGTCATGGGTCTCCTTAATAGTCCTGCTTAGGATTCTAGCCTGGAGAATGTGGTATTCTCTCCATGTATTTGGGTTTGGTAATATTGCCCCTTTCCCCATCTCAAATAAGATTATATATGTGTTATATATACACATAGAAGTAGTGTCTTAGATATTTAAAATTTTAACTTAATATTATAACTATTTGCACAGTTCTTTATAGTTATGAAATTTAGTAGCTTAACTAAATCTCAAAACACCCTCATATAGCAATTCCCCACTAACGAGCCTCCCCATTTTATGTATGAAGACACAGATAGCAAATGACTAACTTGCCTGAGGTTATGCAACTTGTAATTTCAGAATTAGAAAGTAAGATGAATATGTCTTATCACATCCTTATAGTGTTTTGCTACACAATAGGTAAGTGACATTATATAGTTTGACTTTGAAATTTTATTGCAGTAAGCCTATGACATTAAAAATAATCTGTCTAACTCCCATAATATTTGATATTAATGAATCATTTTTGTTAGGCCATTGCCTGGTATACTCCTATTCATTGGAAGCAAGCATGGGAGAAATTAGAGTCTGATATTGAATTTGAGAGAGGCTCAATAGTAAGTCCAACATCTCAAAGGTACGTGTTTTATTGGCCAGAAGCTACAACTTCAACTAAAAACAACCAAGATCAATTGAAGAAAGAAAGCTCAAAATCTCAGATGGAACCAGTTCACATTTTTCTTAAGAGGTAAAAGTTGCTTTTTTTGTTTTTTAATTGAAACTTTCTCACAATTGGTAACTGAACAGAAGGGAATAACTGGGTAACAAGTAGATATGTGATGAACAGGTAAATCAAAAGTGACAAAAAAAATTCTATTTTGAATAGGGCCATAAAATCCATAATGGTGTTTATGTGTTAAAACATAAAAATACAGAGCAAGAAGGGATATACTCATGAGACAATAAAGGTTGCTGATTTGTGCTGGATAATATTGAGATCCTCACTGGCAATTTCACTTCTGAATGGCACTGCTCTTAGAGGCAAGGCTGTGGAGAGGTGACGACATGAAATTATCACCTCATCTTTAGCATTACTTAGGTGAAGAGAGAGGAGCATCATCTAGGGATTTCATCTTGGAACAAGAGCTGACTGTGGCTGAAGATGCAGAATTTGTTATTCCTTTGTAAGCAAATGGGTCTGATGTTGTGATAAAAGTGCTGCCCACAAGGTCTAGAAAAGCCACATTCTCTGGCTGTGAAACACGCTCTTGCTTTGAGCCATTATTACTAATGTCACTGCATTAAAGGCCTTTGAGTTCAATCTGGGCTTAATTTTTCTTTTACAGAGAAAAAGAAGTCCCACCAACCCTTTTTCCCAATCACAGCCCTTGGTGCCACAGTCCCAATGTCCCTCCCCATCCCTACTGTCCTTTAGTTGAACCTCACAACACCAGCATGGCTAGAAGCAACTTAAAGAGACGGCTCAGGCCTCAGTCAACCGAGACTGGTCCAGCCAAGGTAAGTCAAAGGGATACTTTTTCCAGCAGAGAGTAAAGTAGGTGTCTGTCTGTCTGTCTGTCTATCTATCAGTCTGTCTCTCTGTGTGTATGTGTGTGTAAAATAGGTAAAAAGGAGTTAAGTGGTAAAATGTGCTAAGTATTAAAAACTATTCATATCCTCAAGAATAGATGGCTCCTAAAGGAAACATCATAAACCATTTACTTATAATTGCTCTAGCACAGTGTCTTTACTGTTCTTGATAAATATCTGTTGAATGAATCAAAAGAACAGCATGGCCAGCAAGAGTATGTAGGACTCTTGAAATTTGTCAAAAGGACATTTTTTTTAAAATTAGACAGGATAAACTGGTTCTACAAGTTATGCTATGCCAGAACTTATCCATTTTCTAAACACGCTCTAATTTTAATCCCAAATTCATATTCTTTTTCAACCAGAAATCTCTTATTTAAATCCTCTAAATAAAGCTTTTAGACTTAGGGTTATTAACCCAGAATCTGTGAATGGATTTCAGGAAGTCCATGAATCTGCTAAATTTGGTGTAAAAATGTGTGCCTATATGATGTTTTCTGAGGAGAGAATCCATGAGGTTCATCAGATGCCTCCAAATGTTTAAGAACTGATTAGAAGAATACAACAGTAGATTGTAAGCTGGAGAGAAAGCCTATTTTATACAATAGCTATATCCTGATGAAATTTTAATGGTTTGCAAACTTTTATTTAGCAGAGGGATTTTTTTAAAATGAAATCTTGCGCAGAATCCCAATATATAAAAGGATAAAAGCAGACCTGCCCAAGTGGAAGGGGAGATAGCAACTTTCATCATACTCTTCCTCTTCTTCCTTCCTTCCCTGTGATCTTTGAGGCACCTCTGGAATCACAGGATTCTGTATACTACAGTGTGAAAACCACTGTTAGAAGGCTAACACATCATTGGAAAATAGCATCCCCAAAATAATGTCTTTTAGAAGTGGAATGATGAAAATTTTATAAATTTCTGAATATATTTCATTTCATAAAATTAAATATCCTGTATCTTTTTGTCTGAGTTTCTTCATCGGTAAAGGAGAAGATTTGGGTCTGAAATTTAAAGAGCTCTTTCAGCAATAAGTTATGTATATATCACACATATACCTTTAGTGCTTTATAACTTAGAGTTGAGACTCTCAAGAAGTACATTAATTTTTATTTTTCTCCAATTAATGATAACCTTCACTATTTTACTAATTCTGGATAACTTGTTTTCCAAAGAAATTTGACTTTAAATTTTCTTGATTCACCTTTCTATAACGGTGGCAACTTACCTTAATTATTCATAATTTTTGCTGTTTAACATGACATTTCACTGTCTATGTATATCCTGTAATAGTAATTCAAAAAGATAATTGCTTTAATACCTTCAGGGCCTCTGTTCATCATTAATATCTTTTTACTTTTTTATTTATTAACTTTTTAATATGAACATAAAGAGCTTTTCTCTGATTTCAACTGTGAAAGATGGCCATAAAGAGACAGATGTTATGAATGAATTGTTGATGATTTATTGAATGACAGCAATCCCTGTATCACTAGTTCATTTCTTTGGAAGAATATGTAACATATTTCTTCGGGGAAAAGTTACCTCATTTGTTAATTATCCAGTCTCTTTTTAATTTCCCTACCATGGAACTAGTGGCTATCATTAGCACACTTCTCAATAATTGACAAAGAAAAAAAGAGATAAAACAAAAATTCATCAATTTCTTCACTCCTGCCCCTTTCCCCCTACACTAATAAATAGATAAGTATGCTGAGCTACAGGAAAGAAAAAATCTTATTTCCACGTGACTCTTCTATCTAGGAATGGTTATCTTGTTTTTAACTATGCTTTTCAAATATGTTTTAGAGGAGCCTAGAGACTAACAAATAATCATCTACACATTATATGCCTAATTTATACCAAGCAAATTTGTGTTTTAAAACATGCTAAAATACAGAAAGCAAAGCGGATAATCTTTAAAGCACTTATGTACTAATCATTCAAGATTAATGTTAACATTTTCTAATGTTGCTTCACATTACCAAGAAAAGCCCTATAAATTTGAAATTCCCTTTGATCTTCTTTCTAGTTCTGATATAAAATTAAAATAAATCATTCTGGTCCTCATTTTTATATTTTAATTATATATATGTATGATCCATGAAATATATATATTATAATTGATTTGTTTTTAATTCATATAAATGGCACTAAGCACAGTGCATGACACATAATAGTTGTTTAACACATGTTTGATGAACAGACAGAAAAGGAGACACTGAAGGTTTTCAAGTGGGCATCTGATAGAGTTAGATCTGTATTTTAAAGAGAATTTTGGTAGCAATGTTGAAAATGAAATAGAGTGGAAAATATTCCAAAATCTAGGAGGAAAGATAGGAGGAGGAAGAAAAATAGGGAGAGGAAAGAAAAGAAAAGGAAGAATAAAGCAAATTAGGGAAAAAGACTGGGGACAAGTATGTCCTGTATAGTTGTAATTTGAGTCTCAAAAGGATGGGAGAGAGAGAAGTTGGGGCAGGAGTAATATTTAAAGAAATTATGACAAAAATTCTCAAAAACCAATGAAATATATCAAACCACAGAATCAAGAAGAATAAGTCCCAAGCAACACAAATCCAAAGGAAACCACACATATGTATATTATAATAAAACATCAGAAAACCAAATAATAAAAGTCAAAAAATAATGGAATGATATCTTCAATGTGCTAATGTGCTAAAAGAACTGCTATTCTAGAGTTCTATACCAAGCAAAAATATAGTTCAAAAAGTTAAAGTGAAATACATTTTCAGGCAAACAAAAACTGAGAGACTCCATCAACAATAAAGCCACAATAAGGAAATATTTCAAGTAAAAAGAAAATGATTATAGAAGAATGTATAGTCATAGAGGAAGAAGTGAAGAAAATGCAGAGACAAAACATGGATAAACATAAATGAATATTCACTATGCAAAATAATACTAATATTGTCTTATAGAGGTTAAAATTTATATAGAATTTAAATTCATGATAACTGTGTTAGTTTCCCAGGGCTACTGTGACAAAGTACTACAAACTTGGGGCCTTAAGACAATAGAAACTTATTCTCTTACAGTTCTAGAGACTAGAAGTCTGAAATTAAGGTGTCAGCAGGGCCACCCTCTCTCTTGGGATTATCTTTCCTTGCTTCTTTCTAGCTTCTGGCTGTTGCCAGCATACCATGGTGTTCCTTGGTTTATAGATGCATCACTGTAATCTCTGCCTCAGTCTTCACATGGACTTCTCTCCCGTGTATCTGTGTTCATATTTCTCTCTTCTTATAAGGACACCAGTCATTGTATTAGGGCCCACCCTAATTTAGTAAGATCTCGTCTTATCTTGATTACATCTGCAAATACCCAATTTTCAAATAAGGTCACATACACAGGTTCAAGGGGTTAGGACTTCAAAATATATTTTGGGGGCACGCGATTTACCCTATAACAGTAGCAACTGCACAGAAATTGGGAGAGGAGTAAATGAAGTTAAAGTACTCTAAATTCCATGATTTGTTCAATAAATTGTAAAAGCAGCAATTTATATTAGACTTTAGTAAATCAAGGATATATTAGACTAGATTTAGTAAATCAAGGATATATTAATCAATTTATATTAGACTTTAGTAAATCAAGGATATGCAAGGAATCTAGGATAGACACTAAAAGAATAGTGTTTAATTTTCATGTTTATTATATGACATATATCATACTTTCATTATCATTCAGTTCAAAATATATTCTAATTTCCAATGCGATCTTCTTTATTACCTGCATTATTTGAGGATAATATATCACAAACAAAGTGGGTTTTTTTCAGAAATGCAAAATTGGTTCAAGCTTTAAAAATTAATTAAACTTATCATCTTAGAGGAATAAAAAGGAAAATTATATAAACAGGAATTATATAAAAAGGAAAATTATATAAACACCTCAATAAATATAGAAAAAAAGCATTTGATAAAATTTATTGCCCACTCGTGAAAGAACCTTAGAAAATTAAGATTTGAATTTCCTTAATCTGATCAACAGTATCTATGAAAATCCTAAAGCAAATTATCATACTTAATGGTGAAATAATGGAAATTTTCCCTTTGAGATCCAAATCAAGACAAGAATTCTTTTTATGATGACTTCTATTCAGCAATGTACTAGAAGTCTGAGTGAAATAAAGCCACACTATAAAAGCCAATCCGTTATAAATAAATGAAACTAGAACATTGATAACATTGCGCGGGAGTGAAATATTTAAAATCTCATCACCATAAGCTATCTCTTAAGGTCACACATAGAATTTTACTGGACTGTGGTCAATTACTCATTGCAGTTCATTAGATCTGGCTTATCTGTCCTGGAATCAAAGTATTTTTTTCCCATAAGAACATGTTTCCAATCTATAATCGTAATAAAGGAAAGAAATAAAAGTTTGAAATAAATTCTTTTTATGTGTCCTCCATATTAGTATCTGTTTTGCTTATTAATGTTTCTACCTGTATTGCATTGTTTAAATTTATCTGATTAAGAATTTAAAATGTCAACTGTCACATCTTTATGACTGAATAGATTTTTAGTTTATACATATATATATAATGTGACAGTATTAGTTGATAATATAACTAGAAATTATATAAATTGATATATAGAAATTTTAAAGAAAAAAAATCAGACTATCCTATAGAATAAAAAAGGCCAATTACTCTTACAATCAGACCTAATAGAAAAGAATTACTTGAAGAAACACTTCAAATTACTAAGAGTTTTGTCTATTCTTTTTTTTGTTATTGAATAATAGCATTAAAAAACTAGGAATTCTTTGATAAAGGAAAATTATATCATCTATTCAAGAGTAATAGTTTTTCTCTTCTGTTGCTTTCTATTGGAAAATTTAAATGATAATATCACCATATTTCTGTAGACTTTTTTAATAAAGACTAGACAAGTGAACACC